AATCTTCGTTAGACCTAGAATACACAGATGACATAGCCCTGTCAGGTGAAGACGCTAACAAGATGCCGAGTCTTCTGAACACTCAGTGGCAATTTGAGAATGTTTGGGATGCGGTTCTCACCACCCAAATGCAAATTGTTGATCCAGGATTGGTCTTCAATGGTCCCACGGCTAACAATAAAAAGTGTAGTGGTTGAGTGTGTCGACCACTTGACTTACCTGGGAAGTAGGATCAACCCTACCCTGGTGGCTCAGTGGCTGATGAAATCTCTTCACGGATACAAAAGGCTCGGTTGGCTTTTGTCAACTTACGCCGCCTGTGGCGCCACCTTGATATCCGATCGTCTATTGCAGGTCGCATTTACTGCACAGCAGTCCGGTCTGTTCTACTCTATGGCTATGAAACATGGCCATTAAAGGTAGAAGATATGAGAAGGCTTCAAGTGTTCGACCACCGTTGCCTTCATAGTATAGGCCGCCGTATTCCGTGATGTCACCATGTGAGCAACGCAGAAGTCAGGTGTAGAGTTTTAGGGAGGAGAGATAAATCAGTCGACGAGGTTATGAACCTTCATCGACTGGTTGGGACACGTGTTACCCATGCCTAGTTGCCGTGGGCCTCGTCACACAATGTTGGCTGAAGTAGGTCCAGGCTGGAAAAAGACCCGAGGTGGCCAGACTAAAACATGGCATCAATGTATGAAGTCTCTGACTGTTGGTTTGAGCCATGTGAGGCGATGTAAACTAGCCGGTTGGGGTCCGCGGGACAAGAAGAACCAGTGGTTAGACACTCTAGATGATATGGCTGAGAACCAATGTCAGTGGCGCAGATATAGGCACATATTATCCTCATCTTAACGACGCTATACCGAATTTCACCATTTTCTCTTTCTTCCTTTCCCTCCTTCCGTACTTTACATTTCTTTTGACTGAATTCTCCTCTCTTTATCTACCACTTAACCGCCTTTTTGCTTGATGTACTGATATGAGCTGTGGACCGTTACGCAGTAATGACTGGTCCTATGTTGATAGATGATATTGTAAAGGAGTACGTATATACTTATATTTTGTTGTTGTTGCAATATATCATGCTGAGAATTCCAAATTGTACCACAAAATGTTTGGAATAAAGTGGATTATTATTATTATTATTATTATGACAATACCGATTAATTTGATAATATGATCACATAACACAGTGGTGCACTGTATTTGATGTCAACTGCTTGTCCATCTACTTGTTGTTACCATCACGTTCAGGTGGTCAACAGGTTAGACACTAAAATTCATATTACCTAGAAATAGGTTACTATCTGAGTACAGTTGTGACAGGTTATCTCCACCATCGATTTACTCAGCTTGGATTCCAAAAGCAATACATAAGTACCTTTTTATCTGGCTTGTGCATTGCAGTGGTAGGCAGGAATCAGTCATCGAACCCTAAAAATTCAGCATCATAAGCTGTGCATATTCACAGCAGAGGCTAGATGAGATCATCACCAGGCTAGGTGACTTCAGCACCATCTCCTTCATATATAGAAGCAGACCACTTATAAGTCGCATGAATGTTTATAGAGGATATCTGCTGACATTCAGTGTCGCTGGCTTATGGGTAGAGATGACTTATTGTTTCTTATCATAAGTTCACCATTACAAGCATTGTTGTCGCTTGACCCAACGTCTGAATATTGATTTGCATGCTTGATTACCGCTTGGCTGATTCCTTCTTAGTTCCCGTACATTGGGTCAAGATCTACAAGTCTGACGAAATCTACCCATTTATTCATTAACAGGAACAAGGTATATATTAGCGAAGAAATATTTCTTTTCAACGACTTCATTATCAAGCTGTACAGTCGTATTTATACTGAGTAAAGTGACAGATAATTGCACTAAAAAGTTGCTCAGTCAATATGCAAAATATACAGTCGGTGGAGGGGTGGTGGTATTTGTTCAGGTGGAAGAGATAGAAAAGGGTCACTGAATAAGGAGGAACGAATTGATAACAAGTGGTGAGATAAGCGACAAGTGCTGTCAAAGAATTGTAAAACGGTGATAATTAAGCTGGAACGTGTACAATAGGTCAATGATTAAGGAATGAATTGATATTAAAGAGTGGAATGTGGTCCAAGTGTTGTCAATGAAGTGAAAATTGGTGATAATGGTGATGATAGAAGAGAAGTATACCAAAGTGAAGTGAACTGAAATTGACAAAACCAACAAAATGAATTGTTAAGGCCAAGGTAGAGAAAGTGGTTTCACAAAACGTTTTTGAATGCAAAGTTTCGGTTTTTGTTCATGTATAGCTAATGCTTCAGCTGTGCATAAGTGGTGGAAGCGTAAACCTTTGGAGTAGTTCAATTTAACTTTGTAAATTATTTTGAAGGATGAATCTCGAGGTGCTGAGTGTCTACATTCAACAAGGTGTTCACATATGGATGAAGTCGTTTTCCTTTGCTCGCCTCTGGTAAGCCAAACCGGGTAGTGTTCAGCAACACGTTTTCGTAGGGCCCACCTAAGAGATTTATTGATAAGAATCTGAAGAAACGAACCACTCCCCATCCTATTACAGTCCCTAAGAATATTTTAACCATGAATCTAGAATTCAAAGGAGACACTACAGTGGAAGTATTGAAAAATCGTCTGTCAAGATGTATCAATAGTAGCTTCTATCCTGCTAGGTTGAGATTGGTATTCTCCACCCGCCGTCTGATTCGTCAATGCGTGAAGGATAGGCTTCCACTTATGTCCACTTCTATGTGTATCTACAAGTTCACATGCTCCTGTCGAGCTGACTATATTGGACGTTGTAAGTGGGTCCCTCCGAAAACGTGTTGCTGAACACTACCCGGTTTGGCTTACCAGAGGCGAGCAAAGGAAAACGACTTCATCCATATGTGAACACCTTGTTGAATGTAGACACTCAGCACCTCGAGATTCATCCTTCAAAATAATTTACAAAGTTAAATTGAACTACTCCAAAGGTTTACGCTTCCACCACTTATGCACAGCTGAAGCATTAGCTATACATGAACAAAAACCGAAACTTTGCATTCAAAAACGTTTTGTGAAACCACTTTCTCTACCTTGGCCTTAACAATTCATTTTGTTGGTTTTGTCAATTTCAGTTCACTTCACTTTGGTATACTTCTCTTCTATCATCACCATTATCACCAATTTTCACTTCATTGACAACACTTGGACCACATTCCACTCTTTAATATCAATTCATTCCTTAATCATTGACCTATTGTACACGTTCCAGCTTAATTATCACCGTTTTACAATTCTTTGACAGCACTTGTCGCTTATCTCACCACTTGTTATCAATTCGTTCCTCCTTATTCAGTGACCCATTTTCTATCTCTTCCACCTGAACAAATACCACCACCCCTCCACCGACTGTATATTTTGCATATTGACTGAGCAACTTTTTAGTGCAATTATCTGTCACTTTACTCAGTATAAATACGACTGTACAGCTTGATAATGAAGTCGTTGAAAAGAAATATTTCTTCGCTAATATATGCCTTGTTCTTGTTAAGAAATCTACAAGTCTGTTGATCGCAAGGTCAAAACTGGAAGCGTCGTACTCCAATCAAATGGCGAAAAGGAAATTGAATTATTGTCTTATCAACCAGGGTGGATGACCACAGAGTCCAAAAGGCATTCGCTGGACGCCAGATCTCACGACACTTTAGGAATTTTGATTTGGAGTCAATTGTATAACGTCCACAGCAATCGTAAATCCGTACTGCAGGACGGCGAATAGACCTTAGTGCCGGTGCTTTCTATCTTCCTCCAAACAGAGTGAGTTAAAAAGACATTCAGAATGCTGGTCACCCAGGAAAACACTACCGCCGGGACACAACTGTTGAGTCAGCAGTACAACTTCGTCCTCGGATCTCCGGAGAAAATCGAATTCCACTCAGTAATCTTGTGCACGTTCATGCAACAAGCGATGAGCCACACCTACTGTGTAAGGGTTATTGATACTTGGCCGCTCAGACCTCAGTAGGTGGAACAGGATTCGAACCAGCGGACCACAAGTTGGAAGTTGTGCACAAACCGATGGGCGACACTATGACAGCGGCTGCTTTTGGTTCCACCACTATCCAGCACATCTTTCTGGGATTTTATAAAATTTAAGAAATGTTGCTATTCTAGCCAGTATACTTAGCTGACTCATTGCGATACGTGAGGCTGGGGACCACTATAAGGTAGAAGCTACCAGTCCAGAAAGGAAGGTCATACTGTTCGTAGCAATAGTTATAGAGCTCAAGAATTGGTACCAATTCCTACTTTAACCATTTCCAGCCTTTGGCTAACTTGAACATATCTGAATCAATGATGGTAGGTAGCTCAGTATATGATGCATATCCCAACCACCTTAATGGATAAAGGCCAATGACCTCAATAAATGAATCCACTTACTCAATACCAAATACCTAGCCTATATACTGCTTATGGGATCATTCAATTATACGAGAACGATCTTGTGAAAATAACAGCTACTAAATAACTGGTCTCAAATCATCTGCTTCTTATGGTCATTTCATAGTCGTAAAGTGAGACAAAGTATTATCAAAAATTACACTCGACCATCAAAAGTTAAGTGGACAATTCGTGAACACTAAAAGTGGTGAAGTTTGACTAGTTAGTTGGACGTTTTCTAACTGTGCGAAGTTTTCACCAAGACTTGTACTTGAGTAATATACCGAAAGCTATTTGAAAATTATTTTTGAGATTGTTTGAGACAGTGCAAATAATCATGTTACAAAACATAGTTTACCGGTTGATGAATATTACTACCATTCCGATAAATTAGATTGCAACAAATTGTTTTAGTGACCTAAGTGTAATGCAGAATAAAATCTAGTACGACAGCAAACAAATTACATCTTGGAATACGTAGGATACAAATGAAGTGGTTGCTCTAATTATTCGAAGGTTCGATTTTAATAATAAAAAACCAATAAAACCAAATTTTAAAAACCTACCTGGGTGTATGTTTTGTATTCAATCAACTTTTCTGTGCCACGATGCAATAGACCAATATGAGGATCTAGACGTACGATAAGCTGAAAAATTAGTGTGTATCATGACTTTTAATATGGAAAACAAGGATGAACGAGTAATACATGAAGAAATATTTTTACTCGATTACGTCAGCTTACTTTTCCTAAAACTTTGATCACCTATAGATACCCGAACTTAACCTTTTTATATACAACACTGGAAATAGTCTGGCTGAGAAACATTGTTTAAAACCTTACTGTAATGTCTCTTGAAAAAAACTAGTCTCGATGATGAATTTGCCTAATGTAATAAGGAAACGTAGCTTACTTAGCAAATGTGATATATTCGCGTAATACATTTCAACCAGTCAGATCATATACTAACTTTTGAAAGTATTTTAGATGAAGAAAGATTAGAGTAAGCAAGAAGAAAATTAACGTAAGAGATAATGCCTGCGTTTTCTAACATTTAAAGCAATACGTTAAAGAAAGTTGAACATCTACGGAATTAGTTTAACACCGAGCATCATTATTTAAACGCTAGATTTACGCCTACAGCGAACTAAGATAATGTTCTGCCGATAAGTGATTCAATATACCAGATACATAAAAGGAAGCAGATTAGTTAAAAAGATCCTCTGGTTAACTAACACACGATCCTTTCATTGGAAAAACATATTCAGATCTCTAAGAACAGAAAACCACAGCCACTATGATTACAGACAAAATGGTTTCAATCTAAATGGAAGTCTTTCGTGTAACTAAGAAGTTGAAATCTCATTGATTTTATTATTTTGAAAAAAAATTATTTACTACCTGTATGTTTAGATAATATATTTGTGACACTTGTTTTAGAAGACTGAAACGTTTTTAGGTATAGGATGAGAAATATCATCCTCTTTTAGTCAACCTGTTTGTAGCAAAATTGAAAAGTAGGCTTCTGCATAGCACGACACACAAACTATCCTTCTATCGCAAATACATGGATGATACTTTCATTCGATACAAAAATGATACCAATTCTGATATGCTTCCTGTTACATTCAACAGTTCATTCAGAAATCAAGATAACCCGTTTTACTATCAAGAATAGATGTCAGTATATGTCAGTGCATTCTGAAAGAAGTCATGGGTCGACCAGCACACACATTTCTTATCATTTGTCCCTTTTACATACAAAAGGAATTTAACCCGCACACTGATGCTTCGAGCCAGTAAGATTCGCATAGGTGACTTTTAGCAACAAAACAACGATAACAGAGAACCTCTTATGCGAGAATGGCTAACCTGAAAAGTTTGTAGAGTGTTACAATGAAAACAGATGGAGAAAAGCGCCTCTAGATGCTATGGAAGAAACGATCAAATCTAACTAGCACTCAAACGAGAGCCAGCTGCAGAAACACTGAAACTCAGAAACCTGATAGAGAATACCTTCCTTGCAGCCACAACGTTTGAAATTTATTACTCGCTATATGTTGATGCAGTTGAAAGATAGGCTACCGAGTCTAGCCACATCTATGTGCATTTATAAAGTTAAATACTCCTGCGAAGATAGTTACATAAACAGAACGACCCGACAAGCGCACCATCACTTCACTGAACACTGTCCAGTGTGATTAGGTAAGGGGACAGTGAAACCCATCAGAAACTCAATACTCGACCATTTGGTAGGTACTGAGCATAAGATTGACAAAACCTCAGCATTTACCATTCTTTACCAAGTACTCTCACAATACTCTAGATTTGTGCCTCTCCAATTACTAACCCCAGCAGAAGCTATAGTAACTGAAATTTTCAAACCTAATTTATGTGTACTAATGTTTGCTTATTCCCTTCCCCTTTCATGGTCTCTAACCCCGACCCAGATAAAACTGTAATAACTTCCTTCTCAGCCACCCGGATAAATGTAAATGTTATCTCTGTTTTTACTATTATCATCATCATTATCGTTACACTCCCTCTTAATTTCATTTTGTATTTTGACCTTGGTTTCAAAATTGATTAGGAATTTTATTATCTAATTGCTATGCGATAATAATTTTATTCCCCTCTATTCCTACACGCATACACAACCCACTCATACCCACAATGATTAACTACTGAAATTAGGTCAATTCTGAAAGGTTCTTTTGTTATAACCGTCTTTACTGTTAGCTTCTACTTTGCATACTTGACTTATATTAACTAGATTGGTATTAAATGACTATGCTAAATAATTTGTAAATGGACTTGTAAAGCCTGATCAGAATTCACCAGAAGTGTGTATTCGCTTTATATACCTTGTTTTATAGATACTGCTGCATTAGCATGCACTTTTCGCACTCAAGAAAAAGTGCTACTATTTAAACTATACGAGATAAACCATGAAACTGCCTCAAAACTGCAGTCACAAATCCAAGCCTAAAAATAACGGAAGAGGTAACCTAAAATTCAGAAAATATAGAAGTTCGGATGAAGCTATGCTACCGAAGACGATTTCCTTAACCAGCCGTAAAATATCGTAAAACAAATTCAATAACTTGAGTTTCTCAACCTAAAACCTTCAACCCAACGAGATTCAAAAAGGCATAATTTTCAGTAACCGAATATCTAGGTCATACTATAGCCTCCAAAAACCACCTTTTTTCACCTCTAAAGAAAGAATTAGTTCAAATGAAAATGCAAAATACGGTTTATGAACTTCCGCTTTTACTCAAGATATAAACGTGCACAACCGAATTTCATCGACTTCGTCTGAGAATGGTCAGTAAAAACTGAAGTTGACCATAAAGACTCCACATTTTGACCTAGTCAGTCAATCAGTCAGCAGCATCATGAGACATTATATTAATAAGCAACGGTTCGACTTACCACATTTCATCCGTACATCAAAATATGAGGCACAAAGATGAAATATAAAGAAAAACTGATGCTAGGTTCTCTAAGGACTGGACACAATTATCAAAATAAATGGCCCAAGTAGTGAAGATTTCTCTGGGGTTGCGATTGCAGAAAACAGTGGCTTATAAAGCTCCCAGAATTCATCTAGTCAACCTCTTAAAAAACGTGCAATGACAGTTACTGTTTATGACTACCAACTGACTAAATCCCCATAGTAGCAACTTAAGGTGGAAACAGCAACGCTAAGTGTTGAAACCAGACAAACGGTGGCAAGCATTGCCTTTAAGCCTAGTTGCCTAAAGAGGGTTATACATCTCTTGGGCCTAGGTATCAGGCAACACTACTACTAAAAAAACTTTAACCGGTAATTCTAAAAAGTAACTTTCCACAGTATGGGCAGCGAAAGTATCAACCGCCTTTACATCTCTGTTAGCACCCAAACAGTCTGAAAAGCTGCACTATAGACAATCAAACCAACATTGGAGAGAATCGATGGGTGAATGTCATGGGTTACTTTGAGTACACAACTGGAATAAAAAGCCGAACTACAAGTTAACCCCCAAGAGACTTCACAAAAACTAGTTGGAGGTAATTACAAAGTGACCGAAACATCCTGATGAGATCGTAGGCTGAAAACAGTATTCTGCTGAAATGACACATCCGGTCAGTAACCTGAAAGTAAACCACAAATGATGCTCCCGTTATCCGAGAAGTGGGTTATAGGTGCTAAATTGTCGTCTGTAACAAAAAACACACCAGCTGGACCAGTGACAAAATATTATTGGGGTAATTAGATGAAACCATGACACTTTAGTGAAGTCAGCAAAGTAGAAGCGAAAAGTCATTCTCTTTGTGAACAAATCACAGGCTGACCTTGGACTATCAAACCAACACTGGAGAATTATTTTTCCTTTTCTATATTTTGTGGACTAATTATTAATCGATAAATCCTGAAAAGCTAAGTATAACGTTATCTAATCCAACTTCCGGACCTAAGCCGAAACTTCTTTGAGATTTACACCGCTAAGCTTTGACGAATACTAGTAAGCACACCACCCTAGTCTACCAGATGGCCCCTACTTTTGTTCATAATAACCATATTTTTTTGCGAAATCCACACTACTCTAAACATAAGTGGAAGGGAATGGATTTCAAAGCTTCCGCTCGGCAAAAATCAGCAAACAACCCACTTGCCTCTTATTAATCCCTCTAAAGGTAATGTGTTTACTCGATTCCAACTAGGAAAAAGCCAAATAGCTGAGAAAACAGAAATTATATCCACTAGGGTAATTTAAGGCATTGGCGTTCAGTTTCGGCCCATTGAACAGCCTATTTTTATTGTGGCCTTGTCCAGAGTTAAGGAGTGATGAAAATTCATTCGACAGAGAAGACACAATCCATCTGAGATGCAGATTTTGGGAGTTTGACCAAGTGGCTTCGACAACACAATGTACTACTGCTTACCTCTCCATCCAGATCCATAATAACTCTTAGGACACCATGAGCGGCAGGATGTTGGGGTCCAAAGTTCAACTGAACAGATTGAACCTCGAAATGTTTTTTCTGGAGAAAATCGACTGAAAAGCATTAATTTAATTAATGACAAACCTGGTTGAATTTCTGCGTTCTCTTTACGAACGCTACGAGGAACCAGTGCATCTTTCAGCTGGTCCATAAACTTCTTATCCGGGACCCACCGAAAAGCACTTCTTTTTATTTCTTTGTTATTTATACACCAGGCCTTTAAGTTCGGAGCACACTTAACTCGTGTGCCCAGAATCCTGTAGCCAGTAATCATAGTAGCGCTTCTAACGAACTACCCGCTAGCAAGTAATATAAAATCTTAATAACCAATGTGACATATTTGGAATGACAGGCATACCAGCCTATGGCAATTCTTGTATTGGATAAAGCCGTGAATATCCATTTTTCGTTGTGGGAGTTGTTACTACTTGGTCAAGCAAAAGTTCCCCGGAAAAAAATGTACGTGTGCACTAAGCTGTTTTCAAGTTAATTCTTGAAGCTTTTTGTGATGACCATTTCATAACACGGTCTTATTAGTAGCGAAATGTAGGATAAGGTAAAGCAGAGTGTTTTCCAGTCTGTATTCCAGCCAAAGCACCTGACAGACATTTGGAGTGACCATAATATCCAGAAGACTAACTGCAGCCTGATCACGATGTGCTATCGTTTTCAGTTTACAATTCACGTCCTAGAATCAGTGACATAGAGCCATCGACTGGGCACCCTCAATTTTATGTGTTCCACGGGCAGTACCCTCTATCCGCTTGCTACAAAATTACCCCGACTGTCTAGCGCCATAAATCGATTGCTAAATTTTAAGGCACCTCAAGGCCATGATGAGTCAAGACAGTCGATTTTTCACTAGCTTTCTTAACCGTATAAACGTCAAAACCAGCCACATTATTCGGGACCATGCATGGTGTATTCACGAAAGGGTGACCTACCAGTCACGGATAAAGTTCAGAAAAACCCTAAGTAACAATCCACAAGGTCACTGAAAGTGCAAATTCACTTCGAAAAGTGACAATCGATGTTCTGTTATAATCACCACCTTGCTTGTCATTGCGTGTACACCTTCATTTTCGGCAGTGTGGCTGGGGAAGCCGAGTGATCTCAGAGGTTTCGGACATTTCTACGTGCCATATCCCATATCAATTGTTCTCAGTCTGTTGTGTGCGGTGTATAAGTGCTTTAGGCGGGTTTCAACATCTGAACTGTTGATGAGGTAGTTGCCCATGCAGACGTGAGCAAAACTAGCGCCACGGACAAACCAGTTCTCAGGACGTTGGGGTCGTTAGTGCTGCATTTCAAAGACCACTGAGACGGCGGGAAAATCCAAACACTCCAAAAGGTGTAAAAATTCCTCTTTTTCGAGACGTCCCGTGCTACAGCAGGTATTTGGTTGTGCATGCTGGTTAAGTCAGATTCTCAAAAGATTTCCATTCCTAGTAGTCTTAATAACGTCAAAAATACGTGGTATGGAGCGGTGGTCCGCAATACTTTTGGCATTAATCATTGGCAGTTGCAGGTAGTAAGTTAATCTCTGCTCCTGATTTTTGGTACCACGCGAGGAGGAGAACCCCTTCGGCGACCGTACAGTGGCCATTTACAGCATGTTGTCAAACTCATCCTTCGTCATTCCACATTGACTGATTACTGGGCGGCGTGCCTCGAATGCCAGAGGTCATCATGCATTTGTGATTTGTTGATCCACATTCTCAGTTGTATGTGGTTAAGTCTGCATTGATTGATTCAATTCAAGATCCCGTATAACACAGAGTGACAGACGTTCGTTGAGCGTTTCAATCCAACTAAGGCTAAACTTTCCCCTACGCAGGTGGTTCCACTGAAAGACACCATCGTGCTATTGACCATAGGTCGTTGCCGACCGTCAAGTGGAAATGGAACATTGTTGCTTGCCAGACTTATGTCAGCTGGCATTGAGACTTCAGTTGAAACGAATGTGAAGTGTGTAGGCTTGTGTGAACCTAGAGTGAGAAACCGATAACTTTAATCAACGGTTTTAATTGGCTTAGAGTTTTTGGTCTGCAAATAAAAGTATAGATCTTGATAAAGTCCGCTGGACGAGGGAGGGAAAACGCCAACTTCTACCACAGTTTGAGCGAAAATGGTAACCCTTCGTAATTACTTCTAACATGTTATAACTGGCTGATTTCGCCGGTTGCGGTCGCCGTTAAAGCGTTGGATGCAATCTTCAGCCTTAAAGAATCCGCTTAACTAACAAGTATGGTCAGTCGTCAGTGATGCTTCGTCTGTTATCATGTTATTTGGCACCAGTAGCTTACAACCACACACACAGTTAGAACAAGAACTTTGGTACACTACAAAGATTCACTCGATTGGCCGGCCTTATCTCTTGCACTTGTGTCCCGAACAAGCAAAATGCTTTTTCTCCCGTGCACTTGCCTATTCTCCTTTCACTGAGGAGAAACTCGTTGAAGATGGCGTTTCCAATTTAATCTGATTTGCTTCTGTGTCATAATAATCATATTTATTCCTGAATATTCAGGCACACACCATTTTTACGGGTGTGAATAATTTTATATACAAATTACATTCATCTTCATGGAAGGTAATCTGAATCCCTACACGTTGTCCCTAGAAGATATAAGTGCTGCATGTTCATATAACGGAACATCCTGACAGAATAAGTGTGCAGAAAATTTACAAGTTGGACAAGTGGAAGTATTGTCTGCGCACTAACAAGAAAAACTAAGTTTGTATCTAGACACCACAGGTATCACCTGGAGAAAAATAAGGCTTGAAGCCAATACTTCCATGGTAACAGTTTTTACTTTTTGCTCGAGATAATGATGAGAAGTTTATGAAGGGATGTATGCATGAATTGTTTACATATTGTATTTCATTGACGATTCCAGGACTGTATAATTCATCCATGTCAACACCATTCCACAACAAAGATTCATAATCTTGATGAGTATTATGACTGAAAGCCAAATGTCTTACTTTTCCAACTCCAGCATCCAGAAGCAATAGACTTGTTTGAATGCACCAAATGGGCTTCCAGAACATCTTGTCCTTCGTTTTCACGGGTCGTGACAGCCTTGCAGTTGGTAAGTGTTGGACTTTGCTGGCCACTTTTATGTGAGTTAATCCTAGATTTTGATAATTATGAAGTTGTAGTCCAGTGAACACTTTTTACCTCTGCTTGCTGTAGTTAGGTATTCTGAACGTGGTAAAGCTGGTTACCCTACATGAAGGGTAGTTTCAGCCATGGTCTGTTCCTTAAGTAATTAATTCTCGATGGCAACAAAGCCAACGTTTGGAACTGAATTATTTTTCTACAACGAGAAAAAAAACAGACAAAGCAGCAGGCGGAGAAAGCAAGAATTTCAACAAGGAGGGTGTTTTCTATGTTCACGTTTCTCCCTACTTAACTTTCCTTGCTATGACTTTCATTGTATGTCCTTATTCTATAAAACATTTAAAAATATAAATTTCATGCTGTCATGTGGTGTGGAATTTCTGTTTTTGATTACCGTGTTGGGTGGGGCAGAATGTGTTGTTAGTTTGAGGCGGTAACTTATGGAAGTCTCCTCACCGCTTCGTATGAAAGGTCATTGTAGGTGTGGTGGCTCTCCTTATACACTGAGAGAGCTGAGTATACGAAGTGTCGTGAAAAAGACTGTTGGTGTATTCGATGAGCCGTAGGAGTCAGCCATGAGACTACATAGTTCGTCATGATTCCTCATTTTATCTGCATTTGTTTCCACCGATGCCCTGTATAAATATTCTAGTCACACTGTGTTGCAGTGCCCTGAAAACACCCTGAGACAAGTGTATGGCACGCAGTTGATGGGGATGTCGAAACCCGTTACTCTGAACCGCCAATCTTGGCATACTTGGGGCAACAGAAAAGATACAGTCAACCACGCACGCAAATCCCAGACACCGACTACCCAGTTGGCGTCAACGTTTATGAGTATACGACACCTCTAGTCAATCCTCCCAACGTATCACCAGTCCTATGCACCCGCCATGTACAGAAGTAAGACTATCCATCCTCTATGAAACAGATACAGATGTTAGAGACTAAGCCTGCATTGAGTCAAACTCTGTGTTTGTGAGTACCATATACACACTGAACACTTTCAATAAAGCCATTGCCCCGTTCTCTCCTAATTAGGGTGATTCCATTTCGAGCCAGTATGCGGTCGATTTGCCACTGGGATATCTTAGTAACTCCACAACTACGAGTGAGCGAGGCGTATAGACGTTTTGTAATGCAACGACATCAGACCATGCCTAATCAGTGGGTACTGAGTTACATTTCAGACCGTTTGGTGAATTAGAAAGCTTTGTACATTATTACTTTTTTTACTTATACATCATCCTCAGAAACGCAAGGTCTGTCCGTAGCAAACCACCAGCACTAAGGGGAGTCGGATTCATATTCAAACTGCCTGTAATAACTATCACTGAGCCCTGGTGTCACGCAAATATGCCAGATGAAGAGATGAGTACTGACATGTGCACACAATTCTGATGTGACTGCAGCAGCAAGAAAAGAGGTGGTTGCCCGACGTGCCTGTGTTCAGGTTGGAAAATACGGTTCTTGATTAGATAGGTAACTCTCTACGGGTCACAATGCACTGCTGGAATGTTACAGCACTGGTGTGGCTTGTTTGCAGAGCACCTGGTGCCTTTACTAATCACGAGGTCCCACCAATTTTGGCTCCGAAATATGCATCCACTCTCCCATATGATAACAAGATCGTATATGGTGACTTCAACCTGAAATCAAGTGGGATTCACCTACTGGTCCAACCAGGTATGACAAACATTTCGCTACACTGGATATTTTCGGATAGAAACAAATTGTTACCACTCCAACAAGAAGTGGAAGTATATCGAAATCATTATTCTGCCGCAACATAACTTCCCTTTTGACGTATGTAGGCTACAGGTTCCCAGGAAGTAATCACAGAACGGTACTATGCGAAATACCACTTCCTTGAACTAACACTTTAGTTGGTATTTCCGCTCCACATCGGACAGTGTATGCAGACTACGGTAGGACGGACTGACAGCAGATACGGCTGATTCTTGGTGTTCATAACTCTTTCTCGCATAATCACGATATGGGTACGAACAATGAAGACAGTAAGGAGCTAGCTAACGCTCATCTAGAGTATGTGATCTCTCAAAACTCCTTAAGAAGCGATTAGTCTGCACTGAACGTAACATTCCTCTTCTCATTCATGACACCAAAGCTTACAACAATCCAACACATATGTATGAAATTTCTGGCAGCTCATCTACAGCTAGTTACCTGGATCCTGCAAATCA